GGATTCAAGGCACAGAAGTCGCGAAAGAGAGCTCGGATATCGTGATCATGGACGACAACTTTTCGTCGGTGGCCACAGTTTTAAGGTGGGGAAGATGTGTTTACGAAAACATCCAGAAGTTCATCCAATTCCAACTCACCGTCAATGTCGCAGCGCTGGTGATCAACTTTGTAGCAGCAATTTCCGCTGGTGAAGTCCCGTTAACAGCTGTTCAGTTACTGTGGGTGAATTTGATCATGGACACACTAGGTGCTCTGGCTCTCGCCACAGAGAAGCCAACAAAAGAGCTCATGAAGAAAAAACCGGTCGGGAGGACGGAACCTCTGATCACCAATATAATGTGGAGGAACCTCCTGCCTCAAGCACTCTACCAGATTGCAATCCTCCTGACATTGCAGTTCAAAGGAAAATCGATCTTCGGTGTGGAGGACAAGGTGAAGGACACACTGATCTTCAACACATTTGTGCTGTGCCAGGTGTTCAATGAGTTCAATGCAAGGAAGCTTGAGAAGAAGAATGTGTTCAGAGGAATCCACACCAACAAGTTGTTTTTGGGAATTATTGGTGTCACAATTTTGCTGCAGGTGGTGATGGTGGAGTTTTTGAAGAAGTTTGCAGATACAGAAAGGTTGAATTGGGGGCAATGGGGTGCTTGTGTTGGCATTGCAGCAGTCTCTTGGCCAATTGGTTGGATTGTCAAGTCGATTCCTGTTCCTGAGACTCCTATTTTCAGCTATCTCAAGATGAAGAAGTCGAAGAAGAACTCTATTTGAAGTACCTTTGATTTTGAAGGATTGAAGTCCCAATTCGGTAGCGACACTGCTAGTATGTGTAAATCACAGTTTGATATGAATTTTTGTATAATTATTTCTTACATTCTTTTATTATACTAAAATAATGTAATTTAAACTTTGCTGTACAACATATATGTGTAGGATGCAAGTATGTTCATCTGTTTTTAGTTGATAATGTAATTAAAACTTTAGTCCCAATAATGTAATGTTGTTAATTCTTTTTGAGCTTTTGTCAAAGCATAAAAATAGTCTTTGCTTAGTCTATAGTTAATAGTTCATAGTAACTACGAATTCAATATTAAATTAGGTTATCCATTTGTGGCTTAGTCGAACTCCCCCTTTCTTTAATGTAAAAGTATATCATTGTACTACAAAAAAAAAAGAGTTCATAGTAACTAAAGCCTATAGTCACTTTTAATGGTGGCTAATTGTCATTTGTGACTGAAAAGATAATGACAATCCGGTCACTGTTGTCTATTTTTTAGAAAGTAAGAAAATTCAATACACGATTTCATGTCAAGTAAGCACGCTCAAGCTCAATTATAAAAGTTTTACAACAAAACAAAAAAGAGTAAAAATAAAATAATAAAATAATACTCGTTAGAGCAATAGTAAGTGTCATTTAAAGTTTGGATAATAATTGCATTTCTCCTTCAAATGCAAATGAGTTGGATAATACTTGCGCATGGACGAATCACGCATAATGGGGGAGAGCGAGCATGTGGAAATTAATGGAGGCCAGAACCCGTCCTTGTATTCCGGAACCAAGGTGGTTGATGGATATGGACAAATGCTTTTGCCTTCAGTTGGCATGAATTCGACATGGGGCCAAATGATGAGCTTGATCAGCCGTGACACAAGTGATCGGCAGAAGCCATTACAAGAGCGGTTAAGTAAACTAACCCTGCTAATGGCAAAGATTGGCTTGGGTGTTGCATTCATGGTTTTCAAGGTCCTGGTAGCGCATTACTTCATGGGCAACGCAAAGAACGAGAGTGAATTTGGCAAGTTTGAAGGCAGCAAGATGAAGATTGATGATGTGGTGAATGCTGTGGTGGACATGGTAGCAGTTGCAGTTATTGTCGTTGTGATTGCAATTCTTGAAAGCTTCCCGTTTGCTGTCACTTTGACTCTCACTTATTCAATGAAGAGGATGATTGCGGAGCAAGATCTGGTGCGGAGGCTCCCTGCTTGTGAGACTATGGGATGTGCCACCGTAACAAAACTGGCACATTGACGTTCAATGAGATGAAGGTTACAAATTTTTAGCTTGGACAGGAATCTGTGGAAGATGAAGCTTATTCATCAAATTGTCATTATCTTCTTGATTTAATCCGAGGAGTAGCATTTAACATGTCCGGTAGTGTTTATAGGCCTAGTTCAGGATCAGGATTTGAGTTTTTGGGTCCTACTGAGAAAGCCATTCTTTCATGGGCTACTCTGGAGCTACACATGGTCACATGGAGGAATTGAAGCAGAAACGTGTCATTCATCGTGTTGAAGCCTTCAATTCACATAGAAACAAAGCGGGGTTTTGATGAGAAGGAAGGCGGACAATGCTACCTATGTGCATTGGAAAGAAGCTGCAGGTATGATACTAGAAATATGCTCGAGTTACTACTGTGAGTCTGTGTCACAAAAGCTTTGAATGATGATGAACAGTTGAAGCTTGAGCAGATTAGGCATGGCAGCAAGCAGTCTGCGATGCATTGCTTTGGCACACAAACAAGCTCAGGATAAGCACATTAATGACAAAAATAAGTACGGAAAGCTCGAAGAAAGCAGCTTGATCCTGTTAGGATTAGTAGGCGTAAAGGATCCATAAAGCCATATAGGCCAGGAGTGAGGGAAGCAGTTGAAGCTTTGCCAGTTTGCCGAGATGCAGGTGGAATTGATTGTTGTGCCTTGGTCCGTTCATTAGTGCGGAAACGAGATTCAGATTACAACCTCACCAAAATCACACTCAGTTGAACATAATAAAATACAAGAAATAAAGACACCGAGGAATTTACGAGGTTCGGCAAAAATCTGCCTACGTCCCCGGAGAGATATTGCTCTTCACTATGAGAATAACAGTACAAGTACACATGAGTTAAATCAACATAACCCAATCCCGAATCCCTTGCACACCCACTCATAGAATTTTCCCAAGAGCCTCACTCTACCCCAAGAGTTCTTTCATTAGAATATTTTTCACTCTAGCTCTCTTGATTTTCTCTCAACCTTGCCCATGCTTTCCCATGGGAGAGCCGAATGCTCTCCCCATTTGGATGCTCTCTGATGCTTTCCTCATGGAGAGAGCCAAATGCTCACACCCTTTTTGTGTATGAAAAATGCCTTCACTTATAGACATGCACCATCAATTATGCTTCCACAAAACATGCTTCCACAAAACATGCTTCCCCAAAACATGCTTCCATAAAACATGCTTCCACAAAACATGCTTCCACAAAACATGCTTCCCCAAAACATGCTTCCACAAAACATGCTTCCAAAGTCCACAAAGTTGAGAGGAAATGGTTGCTAACTCATAATTATATGAGCCAAACACAACATTGATCACTTACGACAATGTTTCCATATGTAAAGCAAGAACTGGCAAGTGTGGCATACTCTGGCCTGACCAGGAGGAACCAAGGAAGCAGTGGTAGAAGGCGTAGAATCTCGCAACTACACGCCGGAGCAAAGAATGCAGAAAGTTAATGTAATTAACGTGATGGCGAGGTCTTCGACATTTGATAAGCTTCTTATGGTGCAGTGCTTGAAACAAAAAGGCTATGTAGTTGTTGTGACAGTTGTTGGCAAGAATGATGTGCCCACACTTAAAGAAGTTGACATAGGACTCTCGATGGGGATTCAGAGCACTGAAGTTGCCAAGGAGAGCTCAGACTTTGTCATCTTAGATGACAAATTTGCAACTTTGGTAACCGTTTCTGCCAACTTCCAAAAGTTTGTTTAGTTCTAGCTCACAATAAATGTTGCAACTCTTGTGATCAACTTTATGGCAGCGGGCCTCAGCCGGTGAAGTACCATTAATAGTGGTCCAGCTGCTGTGGATGAATCTGATTATGGACACAATGGCTGCTCAAGCTCTCATCACAGATAAGCCTGCCAAAGAGATCATAGAGAGGCCACTCGTGGGTCCAACAGTGATCACCAACATCGTATGGATGAACCTTCTACCTCAAGCTTCGTTCTAGATAGTTGTGCTCTTACTCTTGCAGTTTAGGGATAGATGAATATTTGGTGTTAGAAGGTAAACAGCACATTGGTCTTCAACATATTTGTGTTTCGCCGTGTTTAATGAGTCTAACTTAAGGGGAGTAAATTGTAGTTATGGTCCTCGAACTTGAACTCAATTGGAGCATTGGCCCCTCAACTAAAAATCCATTACAATTGGTCCCTCAACTCAACAAAACGTGCAGCTATGGTCCCTCAACTAAAAATCCATTACCATTGGTCCCTCAACTTTAATTCAACTGGAGAAATAGTCCCTTAACTTTAACCCAATTGTAGCAATGGTCCTTCCAACATAACTCGTTTTGACAAAAAATTTGACGTAATTGACGAAAAGGATCATAATTACACACTTTGAGGAGTTAAGGGACCCTAATTATATAAATGGTTATTCCAACATAACTTATTTTGACAAAATTTTGACTAAATTGATGAAAAATGACTATAGCTACACATTTTGATAAGTTAAGGGACCAATAGTAATGAATTTTTAGTTAAAGGACCATTGCTCCAATTTGATTAAAGTTGAGGGACCATTGCTACAATTTTCTCACTTAAGGGATTTTGAGAGGATTAATGTCTTCAGAGGAAGTCAGAGGAACGAATTGTTTTAGATGGTTATTGTGGAACTTCTGAACAGGTTTGTGGATGCATAGCGATTAAGTTGGGGACAATAGGTGCATGCATTGGGAGTGCAGCCATATCTTGGCCCATAAGTTAGGTTTTCAAGTTCATACCAGTTCTCGGTAAGCCCATATTCAGTTGTCTAAAGAGGGATAGCAAACACGGGTTAGAGTACTTGGCCAGGGCAGAATCCCCGTCGCATTGCACCCAACTTCGAATCCATCACCTAATATATGGAGCAATTCCTAATATTATGGAGCAATTGAATGCTAGTTGTCAAATCTAAAAATGTTCCAAAGTAAATCTGTGCTCCATGACAAGAAATTTAGAGAATTTGATCATGCTTTTCTTTTGGATCCAGCATCTTAAACCATAACTAGTGCATATACCATAGAGGAATATTTTAACAAAACAAAGGCATAGCACAATTATGTTCCGTAGAAGAAAACCACATATGATACAATGCGCCGTGGGAGTGCACAAATGCAGTGATGCAAGATGCAATTACACGGCGCTAATTACAGTTGAGGCGAGTATCGTTTCTCTGCACCAGTGCCTCACACGGTTTTATTCGAAACAGGTGAGAGATTCTTAGGAAATCTTGATCTCACAAAGGAGACTAATCAGGTAATCTTGATCACACATAAGAGACAAGATTAGGCTTAGGCTTAGGCTGGAACTGCTTCTGGGACTTTACCGTTGTCCGCAGAAGCCATACTGTCATAGTAGTCGATTAGCACCTTCCAGCCACTAGGGCGCATGAATCATTCGGGAGGGTTCTCTTTGTTCCTTGTAAGTGTTTGCCTCTGTCATAGTAATTTACAATGTCTTTAGATCAACTAAACTTAGTTTATGCACTTAAACTTAATGTGTTTTACTTTAAATACTACTTTGAATGGCTGATTATAACAGTAAAGAAAAAAAAGGTCGGAAACAACATCGAAAGAACTCGTACCTTCGTGCCAGATATGAAAAGGAAGTCCTGAGGCCTCGAGGGATAAAAAAAATGCCATTTTGCCTTGAGTTTTATCATAAGCAGCAGCTTGCAAGGGAATAACTTACTGATGACGGAAGATATCATACAATAAGGGCAAATAGTGTCACAGCCAGATAATCGACATACCTTGAAGGGAAGGATGTTAAGTCGCTCCAGTCCAGGTGCCATGCTTAATACTTTCTTTCCATGATCAGCATCATACAGATCTCTCTTCTCGGTTGGATGACCCATTCCTGCAGGATCCTATTGAATATTCTTTAACCCTAATACAGTTGGAAGAATAATGGCTTTGATGGATAACAGCGCATCTTGCTTTCAGCTAGGGTTTAGTGCTAGTTGTTAAAGGTGTTCCACTTGTTTAAGGAGCTCCACAGACTAGACAGAAGGAATATTATCATTCCTTCACAGCTAGGTTAGCATGTGTAGATGCATCATTATCTGGACAACAAGTACACATGCATCGTGGACAGCAAGGCCACTGCATGTGGATTCTGACTGCTGCAATATGGACAGTCCTTTTGTTTATTGCATGCGTGTGCAATAAATTGTATATAAACTCTGCTGCATCAGGTAATTCAAAAACATATATTGGATCCAAATTTTCATATGGTATCAGAGCAGTGATCCCTCGTGGACCTGCATCTGTGTTCTTCCGAAAACCTACCAAATCCAAACCAGTTAAAGCCATTATGGCAACATCATCAGAGAAAGTTTCAAAAAACGAAACCATGGATACCAACCCAATTCAACGTTGGAGCTCTGTGCTCCTAAACAAATTCAACTATCTGCCCTGGTCACGAGCTATTTCTCTCGCTCTTGGAGGACGTGCAAAGCTCCAGTTCATTCAAAATGATGATATCATGCCCGAAACAACTTCACCAGATTATGCAGCATGGGTGTCCCAAGATCAACTTATCATGTCTTGGCTGTTGAATTCTATGGAACCAAAGATAGCTGAGATTTTCAGTTATTCAGTGGCATCTCACCACCTTTGGAATTCTGTACGAGACATGTATGGAGATCTAAACAATGCTGAACGAGTCTTCCAGCTGAAGAAAGATCTTACAGAATTACAACAGGGAAATCTCTCTTTTGTTCAACATCTTGGCAACTTGAAGGCCAAATGGAATGAATTGGATCTCTACAGACCTCATACCACGGACACAACCATTCTTTTAAAGCGTGCTGAAGAAGACAAGGTGTTCCAGTTGCTTGCCAGCATTGGACCATACTATGAGGACCTTAAAAGTCATCTCTTGATGACACTTGAACTTCCCACCTTCCAGATGGTCTGCAATGTTATTCAACGCGAAGAAATAAGGAAGAAGGTCATGAATGCAGACGTGGTCGTTGGAGAATCAGATCTTAGGCCATCAGAAGCGAGAGCCTTCACCTTTTCCAGACCATACAAGGGAAAACGACCAGACTTAAAGTGTTCTCACTGTGTGAAAATAGGTTATCCAGGCGTTGGACACATAAAAGAAAAGTGCTGGATTCTTCATCCAGAACTTAAACCCAAGTTCAACGATGATGGAAGAGCACCAAGAAACCAAATGAAGCCTGCCTACACTCCTAGAGGAAACCTTGTTTGCGACAATGTCTCCAATAATGTGATGAACTCTTCTTCTAGTCCCATTACTCTCATAAATGAATTTGCTAACTTCTTGCAACAGAAACAAGGAACAACAAATCATGAAAGTCCCTCAGCCATGCTCGGCAAGTTTGCTGGCTTCCTCGAACAATCAAGCTCAGTGTCACAAAATGACATGCCAGGTATTGTTGCAACTATTTCCACTGCATTGGATCTTAGTAGTAGTCGTGGTTTTTGGATAGTCGACTCAGGAGCTTCTGATCACATGACTAACGATGCATCTTTACTAAATGATTTTCAAAACTCCTCCACTCCTTCTTTTGTCTCCGTAGCTAATGGCACCAAAGTTCGTATAGTAGGTGTAACACCCGCCCCCTAATTATAAAGATTTATGTTTGTAATTACCCCTAAATGTTTTAAATATATTATTTTGGTCCCATTTTATCTACCCAATCTGAAAAATTTAACATTGTATTCTTTCTCCCCCAAGCTGCCACGTGGCAGCACCCCCTTCACTCTCCTGATTTCTCTCTCTGTCCCCCCGTGAAGCCCCTTCCTTCTTCTTTTTCGTTTTCTGTCTTTCTGTCTCTCCCTCTCAGCTCTCTCTCATATCTCATTTCTCTCCCTCTCTTCAGATAATCCCGCACGCACGCAGAGACCCGCATGCTTGGAGAAGCCATCTCCATCACCATCTCGTCCTGCTCTCTCTCTCCTTCTCGTTCCCGCGACCCCAGAAAACAGGAAAAGGAGCTCCGGCGAGATTGCTTGTCCCTTCAATTTGGGTAAGCCTCGGGACACTTGAAATCTTCTCATTTTCGTCCTTGTGGCCTAAATCTTACCTGTGATATGTTTGTGGATCGAGGATATAGCATAGAAGTAACTCGGGAAAGTGTTTTCTAGATTTTCCGGCGGGCACCGCCACTTTCGAGGCAATTTCCGGTCAAACCACGGCGATTTGGCCAGCGTGCAAGGTATCAATCTCTTCTTCTCGCTGAGAACTACAACTTTCCTTTTTGTTTCACTCAATTTCGTTGAGTATTGAAGAAGTTATACTCATTTGAATCTTACCTAGTTTCCGGCGAGTCCGACGGCTTTCGAGGCGTTTTCCGGCCAAACCAAGGCGAGTTAGACGTCGTGTGAGGTACCATTCTCTTCGTCTCTTCAAGGGCTACAACTTTTGTTTTTTTCTCGCTTAATTTCGTTGAGTAGTGATAAAGTTATGGCCGTTTAAAATTGGAGGGTTTTCCGGCCGAATTTCCGGCCTTCTCCTTCGACAAACCCAGGCCATCCGGCCTCCTCTCACCCACGGGCCTTAGCCCGTTTTGGACCAACCCAATCCCCTGGCCCGTTTCATTTTTATTTTTTTATTTATATTGTTTTAAAGACCCAAAGGGCCTTGGGCCAATTCCTTTTAATTAGGGCCTAAAGCCCAGCCCTTTGGTGAGGCCTTAGGGCCGGCCTATGTGTGTGTGTGTGTTGTGTGGGCTGTGCACTGCATGTGCAGCCCGTGTGTGTGTGTGTGTGTTTGGGTTTAAGCCCAAACCCCATTTCTTCACCTTAAAGCCTTTTCACCCTAAAACCCTTTTAACCCAAAAAACCCTAGGTTTCTAAAACCCAATAGATCCTAATCCTATTTAACCTAAAACCTGTTAGACCTAATTTGACCGATGACCCCCGGTCAACGTTGACTTTAGGGTTGACTTTTCGGGTTTTTGTCCAGGACCCTTCTTAAGGTAATTCGACGTTCTGAATCCGTTTCCAACGTCTGTTTTCCCAAATTCAATTGTTAAAATAGAGTTTTATTAATTGGACTCTTTATGTGCTTAGGGGCAATTATAGTGGCGTTCCTTCTTCGATAGATTGCGTGGCTTTTCGACGGCGAAGTACTGTGAGTGGACCCCTTCTAAAATGCATGTTTTATAGTAGAAATGCATACATGAAAAGCATGATTTGATGATTACGTTTTATGAAACGTTTTGTGAGATAACATGCTTACTGAGGCTAGTTTGAATTATTACTATTTTTCCTATAACCCGTGTTCTTATAGAATATCTGATGGATGACGATATGATATTTAGAACATGTTTCGAACACCTCTTTATAGTATAGATGATGGATGACTTTATACTATGAAGTTGTTTTTCAATATATATATGTTCAGTGGTTTTGTACTTACCTAGTGGTCCTTTCCGCTACGGGACGTAGGGATAGATTCCGGTCCATCCCGGGCGACGGTTTGGTGTTGGCATAGGGCCTGGAGGGTGTTTCCTCTGGCATTTAAGACCAGGGACGGGGAGCCGGCATGGGGCCTGAAGTGTATTTTCCTCTGACTGTCTGCTCAGATACGGGGAGCCAACATGGGGCCTGGGGGTTATCGGACAATTCACTAGTGATTATTATATATGAGTTATGATTTGAGATACTGCACATCATGCTAGGTTTCGGAAAACCTATGTTTATCATTATATATGTGTTTTCATAAACCTGGGGTTTAGTACGTTGATAACTGTTTTATTATATCTATATCAAATTGGTCCACTCATGTTAGTTTTGCGCCCCCTTCAGGAGTTAGAATCGAGGCATACAATCCTGGCATCCAGGCACTTCCGCATCGGTATCTTCGAGTCCTCTCGGTGTAGGACCAATTCCTTTGTTCATCTAATTTCATATTATTTCCTTTAATGTTCTAGATTAGATGTGTGCTCTGAACATGTTCCTTAAATGCATATTCATTATTCTTTTATATTTATAAGTCTCAATTATTTCTTGTTTTCAGCAATTGCAATCAATAAATGGCTTTCGTCACCCTCGGGTGTCGGCCAGCACGTGCCTATCCTATTATTCGGGGAAATATCGGGGTCGGGGCGTGTTAGTAGGCATAGGAAAACTCAAAATCTTCTCAAGTAAAAAGAATCCCTTGTCATGCATGTCCCTTCTTTTCCTTTCAAATTGCTGTCAGTAGGAAGAATAACACAATTGCTCAATTGTCTTGCAATTTTTTCCACTCACTGTGTGATTTTCCAGGATCGAGTTTCGAAGGAAACGATTGGTAAAGGTTTCTTCCTCAATGGCCTGTACTATGTCAACTTCTCTTCAAGTTTTCCAAAAAGTTTCTACGTAAACTCAAACACAGTAAACAAGGAGCAGCTGTGGCACATGAGATTAGCTCACCCTTCTTCACATGTTATGTCTTTTATTTTTCCTAGTTTCTGTAAAGAGATCCCAGATTGTGAAGTTTGTCACAAATCTAAGTTTACCAGGTTACCCTTTCCCCATTCTCTCTCTAGAGCTACCAAAGCTTTTGAAATTGTCCATTCCGACATTTGGGGACCTGCAACCTTAGAGTCTTTTGATGGTTACAGATTCTTTATATCTTTCATTGATGATTTCTCTAGAACTACCTTTGTGTATTTACTTAAATTCAAGCACGAAGCTTTCCAGTGTTTCAAAAATTTTCATAACTTAGTTCAAAATCATTTTAACTCTAATATTGGCATCTTAAGGTCTGATAATGGCTCTGAGTACACTTCCAAAATCATGACAACTTACTTAAGTGAGCATGGAATTTTACAACAAACAAGTTGTGTAGGAACGCCACAACAAAATGGCATTTCAGAAAGGAAGAACTGAGATTTGCTTGAGAAAACATGATCACTAATGTTACAAGCAAATCTTCCAAAGAAGTTCTGGTCTCAAGCTATACAAACCGCTGCATACATCATCAATCGCCTTCCTAGCAG